GTGTCATTTGTGCTGTTGAAAAGCTTTCCCATAGCGTATGCTGTGCACACACCCATACTCTGGAATTGGGAATCTGCAAAACCATTTTGGATAGTCAGTATTGTATACCCTGATGAATAGGGTTATAGCCTTCAAAAAGGCTGAAGCAGACTTGCCATATTCCTAAAACCACAGTCCCTGCTGCCACAGCTGATCAGAGGGGCACTCATGAAGTCACCAGCATTTACATGCTGAAGTATTGGCGCATAGCAGGATCTCTGCCCTTTATAAGATAGCTGCAGCGTGAACCTGTGGAAAAACAGGAGAAAATGCCATTGTGACTTTTGCAGCATCCTCTCTAGGTACTGGTTAGTGTATGTCAGTGTCCACTATGCACTTGGCACTTTCCAGGCATCCCCTGCCATGCAAAGCTTGCGTTCTAAGACAGCGGTTTGGGGGAAGAATAATAATTAATCAGGTTATTTATACAAGTCAAAGCTATTCACTGGAGCAGCACAGCAGAGCTGGGTCTTTAGGAGCGAGCCAGAGGGGGCCTTGTGGATGAACTCAGAGGTTACGCTAAGTACAAAGGCCTGCCTGGAAGAAGGCGATTGTGCGAGGAGCTGACAAACTGGCAGATGAGGGTGGGAAAAATTGGAGGAGAGTTGGGCTGGGGGGCAATGTGAAGCTTGACAAGGGAGAATAAGTAGGGTCGGGCAGAGTTACATGCATGTATTTATTTCAGTTTCTAATGTATTTAATCTCTGGGCAGACTCACAAAACTCTTAATCTCTATATTGCTCAGTGACAGTACTGAAAGTACTCAAAGTGTTTCTGGAGCCTGGGGGAGAAAACACATGCTTTAGCAGCTTTTATTTTACTTAGTGATGTTTGTTTGTTTGAAAATTGTGAATGTGGAGGAGGGAGGAAATTGGGTTAAAATTTCTAATAATTTTTAAATATAAAACTTCCAACAGACAACCGTAAACAGAGCTAGAGAAGAGAGATTTGCTTAGATAGTTGTGTGCAATCCAGACACCTATAAACCAGATGATCACCATGAATGACACCATACTCCTCTATTTTAAGTTATTTCTATGACCCAATTACCATAGTATCTGAGCATCTCACAAGCTTTAACGTAGTTATCTTTACAACACATCTGTGAGGTAGGGAGGTGCAGATTTTTAAAGGTATTTAGGCTGTTGCTCCACTCAGCATTGCAAAGCCTATGTGACTTAGGAGCCTAATTTTATTTTCATAACAGAGTTACGCACTTGAAAGAAAATCCTGAGTGGAACAACTATCGCCTCATAACTCAATTACTGGCACGAACACAACAGATGGATGAATGTGACATTATTACTCTAAGCACAGGGTTATGGGGCTGTACTGACCTTCTATTTCTAGTCAGTAAAAATACACTGTAGGCATAAAGGACAGAGGTTGACAGTCTAAAAAAGATTTCTCTCTAGTTGAAATCCAAACTAACTGGTAATGTAAATTATGCCTGCATACTGGACACTGCAATCTATTTTGACATTAAAGGTGTTAGACTTCCAGGCAATGTCCTTGTCAAATTTTGTTCTATATTGATGTTCCAGTGTCATGGTAAAGCTGTGTGTGATTGTCTCCTCTGTGCTTTGTATTCCGTCAACTTAAAGATCAATTAGAAGTAAAAAGCTTAAATTGCAGTACCAAATGAATGCGGCTAAAGAACTCCTAGCCATGATGGATTTATGTGTAAACTCAGCACAAGCTCTTGTAGACTTCTATGAAGGAAAAAAATAAATTTAAAAATCAACCTGGCCATAGTTACGAACGCAAAACAGGGTTTAAAAAAACCCCTACACAAACGAATGGCACCAGCTACCCTTTATACACTCAAGCATATTTTAACAGACCATAATACACTAGCCATTTTACAATTTTTTCCCCCAAGAAGCTAAGCATTATTAAAAAGGAAAAATAATCTATCTTCATATACATACAAAAGATCATCTTGAACTGGACAAAGTCCCTCAAATTCAGATTTTTAATTAAAATGTTGTATTTTTCTTGAACAATCACCAGAGAAATGGGAAAACTATTTCCTAACTCAAAATTGTAGTTCATTTACAGAGATTACTATAATGGGCTAAAAGGCACTGGTTAGGGAATACCTAGCAAAGCAGCAGCTACACTGCTGACCTAGTTAGGAGCTTATCGGACTATTTCTGTCATCTTGCATGGAAAGCTTGGTACTAGGACATGCCCCATAGTGAAGAAAATGGAGGCCATGAACCAAACCCACATGTGCTGTTATCTCCTAATGTGTTTAATTGGTTTAAGATTCTTTCATCCCAGCAGGAGAGATATTGTTACTAAAAATAAAAACGTTCCATCTTCTGAACAGCAGTTGGGACTTGCAGGCAGGATCAGGAGGGCATTTGAAGTATCATTAAGTAGAAAAAGTACATTAATATGGGTTTAACACAATCATTCTTCTTGAAGAAAGCCTGTCTCAGAAGTTTGAGAAGGAAACTTGAAGGTGCAAGTTAAAGAGAAGATACAGCCCAGTGAATTATGGCCTCATGAAGCTTAGAGAACAAGGAGTAACAATAGTGTATCTGTAATCTGGTTTCTACATGCAACATCAAAAAGCATAAGATCCCTTACCAACACTGAGTTTTCATGCTTCTGTTATTTCCTATGGGATTTAAAACTCAATATGTCAAATCACCTTCAATCCTGGAGGCAGGGAACGATTAGGCAGAACAGCAGACGGGAGAACTGTTGATCTATTTATATTCCACCACCTACCAGGTCAGCAAAGTCTTATATAAAAGCTGGAATTTACCTTGCTTTATAGACACTTGACAAATTAGCTTCCTTACAGACATACTTTGCTCAGCCTGATAAAGAGAAATAAGATGTGCATTTCCAAACGCAAGTTATGTTGTCTTGACCATCTCTGATCTATGAAGAGGAATGTTTCTTTTTATTTTTGTATCTGTCAAAGACACCATTTTTCGTCACAAAGTCAGGATGTACTGATTCCTATTTAGACTTGGCATGGCATCCTGCCAATTAAGGATGGCATTGAAGGAGGAGGAATTCAGGAGGAATGATTCATTTATAGTAGGAGGTGGCAAAAGAAACCAGGCCTCTATCTACCTTGCTATTGTTTGTACCCTATAATATTTTCCTCCAGTGCACATTTAACTCTATTTTGACTACCTCAAAGGCTGCGGCAGCCAAACTGCTGTCATGTCTTCCATGAATGCCTAGGTCTTTTAGTTTCAGCCTATGCCATCTTGACTGTTCTTTACCCTCTAGGAATTTGTGT